AAAAAAAAAAAAAAAAAAACACAAAACTTCTCAATTCTTCTTAATGCAGCACTAATACTCTAGTGTAGTCCACTAATGTCATTTATAGGAACAGTCTCGATAGTAACTGGTTGAGTCAGAATTGCTTTGGCATTGTTTGTGCTTGAGCCAACAGGAGCTACCTGGCTAAACTTGGTAGAAAAGTTACTTGTCGAGCCTGTTTGTTCAACAGTTCAACTGATTATTTTACACAATTTATTTATGCTACTATTTTATAATTACTTAGGCTCTTTATGCATTTCATACTGAATACTTTGAGGCTCCATATAAAACTAGAGATAGGGCTCATTCAAATGAGGGTTGTCAATTGCCTGTTTTTTTCTATATCAAATTTGTTATCCTTAAGGGAGTAGAACAACAACAACAAAAAAAACCTTTCCCAGAAAATACTAATCCACAAACATTTCAAGGCTCTATCCTCTTCAACAGTCTCGCTCTTGGTGTCAACATGTATCACATGAACAAAGCGGCACTTTACGACTTTGTGACTGCTTTAGTCTTTTGTCATGATTTGGAAACTCTCTGAATAAATTCATTTTACAAGCAGTGACCACAACACATCTGATCAAATACAACACAGTAGAACATAAATGTTACATATTTGTAAATACGATGGAATACCACTTTTTTGTAAAACCATCACCCAAAACCAAAACACCAAACAAATGAACAGAACATGATTTATAAAAGTGTTGATGCATGTTTTGCTTAACATTAGATAAGCACAATGTTTTCATCCCCTTGTTCTGCTTCCAGTTAGTAAAATAAGATCAGGATACATAAAAGCAATACAAACAATATATAGGCATTAAATAAATTAATTTCAGAACAAAGGCAATGTTCAAAATACATATTTACAAACCTAATAAAATGAAAAAAAAAATTATTCTTAAGGGAAAATGATACTCTAATTGACTGTTAGCATTACATGCTAAATACCTTCACACAATATTTGCCTCTTCATCTTTCCTTTCATCTATACTCATGTATTGGTGATAATCAGATATTCTGCTTAACTACATATATCTTTTAGTAGAGTTATACTTTGCAGCATTTACTAAATTGATATGTACTTGGTACACTGAAATCCAAATCTGACATCATTTCTGACTGATATGTTGATATATTATGTGCCGATGGCTACAGGAAAATGCTAAGTAATAAAACATAGAATTTGCCTGGTGATGAAGTCGTGGGGCTGTGCTTTAGACTTTAGAGGAGTAGGGAACAGGAAGTGGATGAAACAAAAAACACAGACGGGGAACGGCACAGCAGAGCCACATTTAGATGCTGACAAAATTTGTTATAACACTCCAGCAAATAACTTGACCTAAATATTTTCACTTAAGCTTTAACCAGGAGCATCTAGGGCATGAGGCAGTTGGACATTTTATTTTTTTCATGTTTACAGATATTTCGTGGACAACTGTACCTTAAAACTACCACACAATTGCCTGCTGAAATTCTGAGAGAAAGGGGGGGAAAAGTCACTTAGCTACACACATCTAAATTCACAAGTTGCTATACAAAAAGCATTTCAAAAAAAAAAAAAAAGTCTAAACAAAATGCATTGGGCCCCCGTCCTCCCTCATACTTTGTACAACAGAGGAAGAATAAGCTAAAATCTGGAAAGAAAACCTGCCTTTTGATTTGTAACAGTTTACTTTACTGGAATTGTGTTAGTCCAACATTTCTGGCAAATAATCACATTACCCAATAAGTACAACGGTCTCCCTTTTCCTGACAAAATGCTCCCAGGTCACCTCTGTAATAGATGCAGTGGTCCCACTTTATGTTCAACAGGCTAAAAGCTATGGGAGGTCAGCTACCGCTTCACATGGGGTCTGGTCTGGCATAAGAGTCTGGTCACTGAAGGGAAAACCCACCCAGAAATACTCTAACACTGTTATATATCATCAGTCTGATGAGATCACTGTGTATGCTTGGATATATATGTTATGACAAAGGGTTGTTCTACAGTGCTTGGTATTTTATACAGTACCTTTGCCAACAACCAGAGAAAAACCTGATTGACTTGTAGCTGCAGAGAGTAATAGTGGGAATGAAAGTAATAGAGGGTTTTTTCATTGAGGAAAATACTTGTGGTTCTTACACTAAGCATATCTTGTAGCTGAATTAAAATTTTCTCCAGCAATTAATTTCTCCCTGTATGACAGTTGAACATCATTGCGAAACATCAAAAATGGAGTTTAAAAAGCCTCCTCACTGCAGAAAAATAAAACAAAAATGTTTTTAAACTCAAGATGTGGCTTCATGGACAAACAGGACCATGAGGTACAGAGCTGTGTAAGGCTGTACATAGGCACAGTGGTGCTTTAAGCTAAATGCTAAAGCATAATGTTACAACATTTAACATGTATACTATCTTGCCCTAGTGTGTTAGCATGCTAATGTTAGCTAATTAGCACTAGACAAAGTGCAGCAGAGGTTATTGGGAATGGCAGGTATTTGGTCACAAACCAAAGAATTAGACAAATAAAACCTATAGTATATATATAACAGTGCTGAAGTATTTTAAGGGTGGACTTTAACAATACCATAAAAAGCTTGATCTAGCCAAATTTACTAAATGTTTTATGCAAAGAAACATCCACTATTTGCAAACGATTAAACCTTGCCATACAACTGCAGCCATTAAATAACTACTGAATGTCTAGCAAGTTTTTCTCCTCCAGTTTCAAACAGTGGAGTAAAAAGCATTTATTTTCATTTTCTGAAAACGGCACTGTTTCAACTCCTTTTAACAAGTGCCACTCCACCCAGCACGTCCCTCATACAAATTCAACAGGAGAACATCATGTCAAACACCCAGACTTGTCACAAGTAAAGAGCTCAGTTCTTTAGATTACAGTGCAGAGTTTTCCTACAGACATAAATGCATAGGATACAGATCAGTCCAACACTACAATATATGGCGAGCAATACAAAAAACAAACAAAAGAAATGCATCACAGAAACTGATGAAATTAAAGTCTTGGTCATCGGCACTGGGGTTAGAAAGGAGTGTGGTGACGAGGAAAAGCAAGAAGGGAGGTAGCACGCGTGGGATAAATGACTAGTCATACACAGATACATTTTTATGCTATTGGTTAATTTTTTTTTTTGGGCCTACAGTTTTCCAACAGAACAACAAAGACGGGCAGAAACAGACCCACAAACACCAACACGGAAGTCCTTAGCAAATTTCAGAATACAAGTAGCATCACTCTCTTTAAAAGTGAGAGTTGTTTTGATTAACTTGACGCGTGTGCCGGCATCTGTCTCTGCTTCACACACAGCCTCTCACAGTTCTGAAAAATTCTGGGGTAAACACAAAGTCTGCTAAGGCTTTGTTGCAGGGGAAAAAAAGAGACACAGTGTTTAAAGAGTTTAGTTTCAACAGTCTTGCTAGCGATTAGGTGCATGGAGAGAATGGCATAGTCAGAAGGTTATGAGCCACTGTGTGATTTAGAATCCTTAACTTTACTGAATGTACACTTTATTAAAGGACATGGTTTGTTATCGCATGCCATGTTTTCTTTCCGATATTCTCTTTCTCCTTGGACTTTTTTTATTTCCAGATGCCATAATTCATCTTTCTTTCAAAGAGAAAATTACATACTCATCAGTTATTTTCTGTACAACACATGAAATGGCAACAAACTAGTAAGAGAAAGCTTGGTTTCTCTTTATGCACCATGCAACATGTTTATACTGTAATTATGCAATATCCTCTCAAAATGTACTTTTATATTCTCCATTGTAGCCCGAAGTAGATGCGCTTTAGCACTCACACGTTTTTCATTTCAGTTTGTTCAAATCAGACAAAATTAGAGTGAAAGTCTTTAGTCGCAAAACAAGAAATAGTGAAATTTACTGTGGGAAACCGTGTCCTCTATAGGACACACACACTGCAGGTCATATATTATTTCTGCTTTATTTTCCTGTAATATATTATTTGTATATTTACATCTCCAACCAAGCTCATACAACAGACTTTCACACTAACTGGTCCCCTTGAAGAAAAGAAAACCTATGGAGACAGAACATCCATAGTATAGAAATAACTCATCTAATCCATCTAAATAGCTTCTGAAAATAACTGTCTATAAGATAAAGGCAAATATTGGCTTTTCTTAAGAATGTCTACTTTAAATAGCTTCTGCTAAAATATTAGATTTTATTGTGGTTGAAACATGATATAATTATCTGTTTAAGAGTAAAGGGAATGTTTACAGAGCCTCCAGCTGAGGAATAGTGAGCATCCCGTCATTTTGACCTAAAGTTTTGTTTCAAATACAGCCACTTCATGGCAACAGGTAACTCAGTTATGCTATTTGTTTTTGATGAACTACAGTATAAGGGGAAAATACACTTATTTGCTTTTTGATATCACTCATGTTTGTACTATAAATATAAAGCAACCTCCAGAAGAGGCCTAACTTATCATGAAAACTGGAAACCCTGGCTATCTTGGCTCTGTCCAAAGGTAACAAAATGTGCCAACCAGCTCCTCTAAATCTAACTCACACAATAAGTCTCATTAATGTAAACAGTTTAAAACAACAAAGAGTAGCAAATAACATGCTACACTAGGCTAGACGTTTCCCTCTCTTTTCCATCTTTATGCTAAAGCTAAACTACTGCTAGCTGCAGCTTCGTATTCAAACAACAGATGCGAGTGTGGTATCAGCAAATAAGCCTATTTCCCAAAATGTCAACATACTCATTTCACATTTCAAACACGCCTAAACAAATATGGAGCTACACACTAAATCAAGCACTGTCATAGAAATGAATCACAATCATGTGTGAGATTTCGTTTGCTCCTTTTTACTAATTACCGACTTTAGTTCAGTTTTGTTTCTGATCAAGCCAGTTACATTTTAGTTTCATCTCATCTCTAGATAGTATTTTTAGTCTGTCAGTTTTCACATTTTAGTCTATTCTGCACATTGATGAATTTAAAAAGCACTGCTGAATTGTTAGTCATACAGTGTACACACAATGTTTACACAGATTAACCGTTTATCTTTCACCTTTCTGACGGTTTTCAGAATTTCTGACACAGTTAAGTTTTGAAGGCAGGTTTTATAAGTTCGAATTCTGCACAGGTGGGTGTAGTCTTTGTTTTAACCTTGACTGACAGACACACACACATGCACAGACAGCATCACAGATTGAACAGTGTTTACAGATGAAACTCATTCTGAATTGACCCACTCAGCATTTGAATTGATGGTAAACTTTGGCTCTCTCCCCCACCCCTCCCCACGTGCGCACACACACACACACACTGTCGACCAGTCTCCAGATCCCTTCTTCTAATGCCTTTTCCCTGCAGCTTTCCAACTTGTCTGTTTAGGAAGTGGCTGCATCGCTACGATCTGATTGGTTACTTCGTAGGCGGCTACCTGCATGGTTCTGTGTCATTGCATGTGTTAATGTGAGGAAAGGGGGCTGTGGCTGAATGTGCGTGTATATATGTATACGTGTGTGTGTGTGTGTGTGTGTGTGTGTGTGTGTGTGTGTGTGTGTGTGTGCGCAGTGGGTGTGAGAGGGTCAGGTTGAAGAGTGATGGGGTTGGTCAGAAACAGTAGGTTGGTTGATTGGTGTGCCAGGAGTTAAGAATTCAAGGTGCAAAGATCAAGGTGGCAGGTTGCAACCTCACACTTTCTTGGGGGGAGGGGCCAACTTGATGATCTCATCTTCAGAGGGCTGGCGGATGATGTCTTTTTGGGGGTGAGGGGTTGGGAAAAGAGGGCAAAGAGAGAAAGAGAGCGAAGAGCAATTATAAGAAATCTATAGTGTAAAAGTGGTAGCCATCACACCCACTGTAGCATCTTTGGCTCCCTGTCTGCTTAAAAATCCGTTTTTTTCTTATATGGACCAAAACTGTGGAATAATAACCCCGTAAATATCCAACAGACAACTTAAAGTGACAGTCCTCAAGAATTTCATCATCCACATGTGATACCATTTACAGTTGACATTTTTCCAGTAATATCCAGTGCTCCGTAAAGCCTGGGCGGTCTGTATATATTTCACTGGGGCAGTTCAGTGGGCCAGAGTTTAGTGTGCATGAATAAAAGAAAAAGATTAGCTCTGGTCTACACCCTTCCTTTGCCCAGCTGACGTTACAGTATATTAAGTTACAGCTAATGCAAACCCAATGTTTCCTACAGCTGCTGCTTCATACTAAAAGCATCAATTTGCAAAACACTGGCTGTCTTTTAATGTTAAACAGCCAGATGCAACGCAGCATATGTCACCAATGTCAGCAAATACTGAGAGTCCAATTCTTTGGAAGATCACTTGGGACAATGTGTTCTGTCTTTTGCTCTGAGTAAAACTTACATCATTATTTCTAACCATGAATAAATTTTATTTGAAGGAGTACTTATCAAGCAGGATCAGCAAACTGCTCTCCAGAGTTAAAGTTAAGACAATAATAATAATAAGGTACAAGCAGCCTTAAAACTGCAGCTGGAGATAAATAAAGCAACAAATGTTAATATCAACCTTAGAAAACAACACAAAAAGAACAAATGGCTCAGTACAAGAACTAAACATGGTCTATGTATAAAAACCAAGAAGAAAGTTTAGTTCTTACAAAACTGCAACTGAATTTTTCCTGTGACCTGAGCTGAGCTACATATTAACATGGTAGAAAAGATGGTCAAGTCTGATGAAAGGATAAAGCAGGTTGAGAGAAAAAGGAAAAGAACATTTTATTGCAATGTGATCCTCCTCTTATAACATGTCTGCCTCATGACAGATGACTAGTTATTTCAATCTACTGGAAAGGATTCATTTGACTAAATACACAATTAAACTAGAACACAACACATGTAAAAGGATTCATGCTTTAAAATCACAGTTGATCAAAACAAGAAAAAGAATGAAAGTAGAAAAATAACAAGAAACTTGAAAAAATAAATCAGCCAACATATTTTCATCTGGTTTATTTGACCAGTCTGGCTTCAGTGGTGATGTTGTAAGCAGTTAAATCCTGGACTATTCAGCTTTATTTACCTGTTTAGATGCTGCTGTCATAACGAATCAAACTAGAGCGTGTATTTATGTTAACTGGTCTGTAGGATTATTAATTAATGTTACATTTATATGGTAGTTTGCACCTCAAATAATATCCCACAACCCCCTCACTTTTATTGTGTGATCTCTCTAAGAGGTCCTAATCCACAGTTTTGGAACCACTGAGGAGAGGATGTTAAGAAACCAGAAGGCAGAACTTGACTGATTTTGACAGACCAGTCTGCCAGTCGGAGTATAAAGTCTAATATCAGCCTGACAGTTTAAGAAAAGAAACTAAATCTAAACCCGCCTGTTGCACCTAGAGAGCATTACCTTTGTACTTCTTGGCCGAAGGGATGCGTGTGAGCTTGGTGTCGATCTCATCATCCTCAGAGATCTTGAGCACGGTGGTGCGGTATTCGATCACCCTCGTCAGCAGATCCGGTCGCCGCGAAATCTCAAAGATGTGCTCAATGTAGGACAGGTTATCTGCATGGAAGGTGTGGTTAAAGCCTTGTTTCGCTGAAAAAGCCTCAAGCTCATACCAGACATATATCATAGATGGTGAGATGTGCGCAGCAAAAGGAGATTAAATATCTGTAAAATAGTGTAATGGCATAATTCCCTTTGTCCCTCACCTTGGGACAGCTTGTCGTTCTTCTCCAGGTAACTAAACCACTCCTTTGAGGAAGTGATGTTGTTGCTCTGGTCTTCAGGAATGTCCTCCTTGCAGGCTGACTTGAGCTGCTCCAAGTCCTCATTGGTGATGTTTTCAGAAAGGTCGCTGAGCAGAGAGCTGTACTCCGCCATGATCTGGATAGAGAGGAGAGCAGAAAAACTGTTAAGATATATGGAATAAAGTGAAAAGCAAAAAGGACATCAAAGTGCAGCAAAAGAAACTGAGGAAAATAAACAAACAAACAAACAGGCGTCACAGACCTAAAACACTATATCTGTGAACATCTTCAATTCAATTATAATATAACATCAGCCTTATCTTATTAAACTCTGACCCATCCACATATATTAGTTTTCAGTAGAAATATCTATTGATCTTTGTCTCCATCTAGTGGTCTGATTGGAGAACGACATGTCTGTACTAGAATCATAGAAGCCAATGGAGTGAGGAACCAAGCAAGACAAACCAGTGATTCATTATTAATAAAAAGTATTAACATGTACAGTATATTCAGTACACAAACATGTGTAATATCTAAGGACAATCAGACACTTCACTGTACAGTCTTAAGCATGATCTGCCATTTTTGACTTGCACTATTACCAAAGAGTTGCATGTTATTACACATACTAGCAAATATGTTACATCCTATTTATTGTCTTCATTCCAATTTCTTTTTGGTCATTCTATATATAAATGATTTGGATTAATTGTCCTTGTTGCTTTTCCAACTTATTTGCTTTTGTAATTTATGTGAAGTGGCTGCTGTACAAATATTAATTTCCTTTCTAATTAAAGTGTAATGTTCATAATACCAAGTCCCCATTAACAAAATCTAAACTTTGGGGGAATATTTTTGTAAGTAATATGAATTGATTTTAACTCCTGCAAGAAGGTTGTTCAGAGTTGGTTTTCAGATTTAGACCTGAAATGGGAACAGTGGTTTGAGGACTCAGTATGCGGGCATCATGGAAGGATTATGGATTTACTGATCTATGGAATACAGATCACAAATCATTTTTAATCAAGATTGCAGGGTTTCTATTATCCTCACAAAGACAGGGTATTTGTCAGTGTGTAGGAGTGTGGGTGTTGGCATGTGAGTTGTTGCTCAGAAGCAGGCAGCCAGAAGAGTAAGAAAAACAGAGTGACTCAGAAGTGCAGGCTGCCTGCTCTGCTGCATCAGTTTTAGAAAAAAGAAAATACATCAAGAAGCTGAACTACAAGCTGGACATCATGTTTCAGGCTGAAAGAAAAGCAGCACATCTTCTCATCTCAGAAGCTGGAATCCATGAATATCAGGTGCGTTATTTTTACCAAAAAACAGCTGAAACAAGTCAGTTATCAAAATAGCTGCAGATCATTTTTAAAGACAAGGACAGTGGACTGCCAGTGATGATTATGCTACAGAGAACAAGGAACCAGCTAGAGGTGCTCCTTTTTCAACCTCACAGCCAATCAAACAACTGCCTCAGGACTTCCCAAGTCCTATCCATGCCAATTTTTTGGTGAGATTTTCCCCAGCCCCTAGTGAGTTTAATGACATGGTGGGTTAGCAATGTGAAAACGATCAGGGTCACCTAAAAACAGCTGGATTTGAGCTGAATGTGATCAGGTTTCTTGCTCAAGGATACTTCAGCAACTTTGGGGAGTGATTTCAGTTGCAGCAGGACCACTTCCCTTCTTCTATCAAATATAAGCTTCCTACAATGTAAATGTGCATCTGAACACATGCTGTTCTTTTCAAAATCCTTTTCTGTGTCACAGCCCCAGTCTCTGGCATCCATGCAGCTGGCAAGAAGCTGCTACTCAGTGCAATGCATCATGGGCACTGGCACGAAGCTCTGTTTTGCCTCTAATTCCCTCAGTCTCATCACAGAAAAATATGCACTACAGAGAGCCCAAAAGAGCTCTGTGATGACTGGAGTGACCTACATTACAGAAACCCTGTTATGTGCTGCTGCCACCACCAGAGGGCGGCCATTCACCACGGAGCATCAGATACTGTGGGGGCAGCTGAGCTCATTAAAGCTTGAGAATCTCACTGTGCAGCAATACTATCTTTACTTAATCTTTTGGCTGCTCACAGGGATGTACGACTCGCAGCTGATGTTTTATGGCTGAGCAGTAGACCATGAAATTGTCACCACTTCCCTCTGAAATAATGATTTTTAGTTAAAACAAAAGATTAAGGACCAGTTACATTTGACTTTCAGCTGTTAACTGACCCCACTGTATCTCTTTACCTTAGAGTGAACACAGACATATATAGGCTGCATTGACAAATGGTGATTAAGTCTTTAAATCATGTAATTTATGGGACAATGCAGAAGACCGGGCACAGATATGATGGTTAATATAATTGTCCCAGAGGCTGATTTAAGGTCAGATTTGTTGGTCTCTTTTCTAATGGCTAACATTTCGTTTGGCTATTCTGATCTACGATCTCAGCCTCAGGGTGAAACCACAGTGATGACAGAGCATTTCTACAGAAAGAGCAAGAGAGACTGTTATTTTAGTCTTGAATGTCACATTCATCTCCTCCCAAACCAGAGCAACTTCCTCAAATCAACACAGAGAGAAGGGATACGCACCTCAACTCCAGTGAATAAAATAAGGGCCTGAATTGTGTGTGTGTGTGTGTGTGTGTGTGCGCGCGCGCGCGCGCGTTTCCTCTCTCCAGCTGCATTCACATGTATTTGCATGAGCTCAAGTGAGTGTGCGTTTGTACGCTTTAACTCATGGGCTTGTGAACTGTGTGTTACAGAGGAGTCTGACTGAAAGAATTGGGTTGAAGTTGACATAAAAGTATGCTGTTGCTGTCGCAACGAGAACACTGATTTGGCTTTACTGACTTTGTGTGTGTGTGTGTGTCTGTCTCTGTGCCTCCTCTCTCGGCCCAGGTCACCCTGCCTGCTTTCTGGATCTCTGTTTTGCACCACAATGGACTGGTGCTGCTTCTGTGTACTTTTAGAGAAGGGAGGGAGCAAAAACAACAATGGACAGAGTGGCTGCATTTGGTGTTCCTCTCCCACTGCCTCCTTCCCTCTGTTGCTTGTAATGCTTTCTCAAGCACAAAATAAAGACATTGCTATTAAAATATGCAGCACTGGTCATGCTTCAAACTTTAAACAAATGCCATTTGTTATTTTTAAAATACATGTGGCACTCTTAGCTTTTGTCCTTGTTCTCTTAGATTTTCAGCTCTAACTCCATGATCGCTTATCTTGTGTGTTAGTACAACACATCAGGCGACTATGGAAGCTCTTTCTGCCAGGAAAAATCCACGCTATTATGATTTTTGAGCTTTTTAATACAGTATGAAAAATTGTGACTAGAGCTGAAATCAAATCTGTAAGCAAATCAACTTTGACAAACAGCCGATTGATCCTTAATTCTATTTTTTTTTATTTAAAAAAGTGCTAAAAAGAAAAAAACTCACCTAAGGTTTTATTATCTTAATGTTATATCACTGTAAACTTGTATTGTCGCAGTCTGGAGTGCTGGCTAAGAATAAACCATTTAAAGACGTCACAACCTCCCATAATGCCGGGTATTTGTCACCATGGTAACCAAGTAAAAGATTAATTGATTAATCTTGCACCTCTAATTATAAAATAGTTATTCTGACACCGTCACTAACATTAGGAGGAAAGAGCAGGCTTACAGGTGCCTGTTGTCAGATGACAGTAAAGAATTTAGAAAGGTCAGGTGAATATCGCTTCTTTATTTAGTTTCTTTTTCCTTTTTAAAGAATTTAAGATTAAATCTGTTGGATTAAAACTAAAAACCTGACTGGTAAATGCCAGCCTATCCATGGCTTATAGATGCTGCCTCTTAACCAAGCTGAAGAGTAACTCGATGTCAGCTGGAATAGTCTTTCAATCAGATCAGTGCATCAGTGTGTTTGCCTGACAAGAGAAACAAAATTATGACAGTGAATCAAACCACCTTTAGTGCACAGATATCTATGACGACAAAATGTATGTGATCATAGAGAGAGGCAGCAAACAGTTTACTGCTGTTCACAAGTAGCCATCATTTCTGTGAAGCACAAGTAAGCATCAGCGTTTTACAGAAGGTTTTGTAACGGCAAAAAACTGATGTATACACTGTATGTTTAAAGCAACCCACAATAGTTTAGTCAGGCTCTAAGGAAAAGAGGAAAAGAGCCTGTGAAATCCCCCCCTAACTACCCCTCTACACACACACACACACACACACTCCCTGGACTCTGTGACAAGCGTGACACTGCTTCCGTACAGAGACCCACTGTGCTTCACATTCTCATGAACACAAACATGCTTTTGTCTGCTTGTTCCTCTGTCTTCGCTGCGTGTATGTGTGTAAGTGAGAGTGAGAGAAAACGCCGTCACTGAAATTTGAATTACATACTGTAGTCAAATCCAGCTTACATATTAAATAGTTCAAGTCGTGCCAACAATAAAAGATGGTTTAGAAGGAAAAGCATGCTTCTGCAGTAATGCAATAAGACATTCAATAATAAATTCTGTTTCCACTCTTTGTGCTGAACCAAGTTAATTTAAAACATCAACTTTCTTCTCTAAATAAGCAGTCGCATCTAGCTTCCACCTGTTGACCTATTCTTTGAGACATATGAATAAGTTACTGGAGTACAGCAGGATGATACTCAGTAGACAGAGCTTAACTGGATAAGACGGTGTTTCATACTGGTGAAATCCTGTAGAGCCTATTCTTCTCTCAGTAGGGTTTTGCCAATAACCAATCAGAACTGACAAAAGGGGTTTTAGACTGAACCATATTCATTAAGTATCAGTGATACAACCAACGTTAGCATATTGCCTTTCACAGACCGCCTTGTGAAGTAGCTACCATAAAGGGCTAGATAGCTAGCTTTCGGTTGTACCACTGGCAGCTGAGACGTACACAGCAACGGTTGTTCTTTTTCAAAACCTGAAACGGGAGTTAGTCATGACAATTGCTGTTAATGTTGCATTTTGGCTGCAAATGTCTGCATGTAGCGTTTGTAACCTCTAAATATCTCTGCCCGATTCATTTTCATTTCGATTGACCATCATATTTGCACAGAGTAGGTTTGTCGGTACTTCTGTAGATCTCTTCCTCCACTCCGTGAATAAAATTTTAGCGCACC